GGTGTGTTATAGGGATGTAAGCAACTAGCCGACTACCTGATAACCAAATACTTATCAAGTAGTCGAGTAGGAACTTGACTAATCGCTTCCCCACCTTACTGCCTCTGTTTCCAGGCACAACTCGACATCTTGGTTATGACTGAATGGGTTGGGACCAGGGTATTTGAAGAACCATCTCCTCCCACACACCCCTACCCAGGGACTGAGGTCAGCTAGGGAGGCTCTGCTCCATGTTCCTCCACTTACAAAGGTAAAGTTAACATCTACACAGAGCAGAGCCTTCTCAGCTTTTGCCCCTAAGCTATGGAATTCTCTTCCCTGGCACATTCTGCTCTTTCGGTGCCAGAGTAGAGCCACCATTTGAAAACAGTGGGCCAAAACATCAACAGTTTTGTCTGAGTTTTTGTATAACTGCCAATACCATGGCTCTGAAGTAACCCTGCAACCATAGGAAAGCTAGTATAATTGAGCACCTGAAACAGAAATGCTGCATAGCTCTTTTATTTTTCGTCCACATATTAACTAAGATACAGTACAAGTCGTACTCACTATAAAAGTCAAAGATACGTTCCACAAAACATGGACTTAAAAGCTAAACAACTTAAAGCGAGGAATTTTTCCCCATAAGAATTAATGGAAACAGGGGGTAGGCATTCTAGAACAGTCTTTACGTCACATTAAAGACTCAAGGCAGGGAATTTTACTCTATAAGAATCAAAGGAATAAGAGGAGGTTAAGTTCCAGAACTTAGGAAATGCCACACTTCTGATTTTAACAACACCTTAACATGATTTTTACATCTTACTGCACTTTTTAATATTCAGTCAGTTTAGTCATCTAACCATAAGAAGGTAACAATTTTGTTTGTTGTGTTGGAGAATTAGTTGGAGAATGAGGATGGGGAAGCAGGTGGAGAATCATCAACATCACAAACATCCACCACCTAGATGACCGGTGATTCAGCAACACCTGATGTAAGTATCAGTAATAAACATCACAACATCTGGAGGCTCTTCAATGGCTGCTGCATGGGGTTTTTTCTGCTTCTTAATGCCAGAAGATCCTGGTTGAGGCTCATCCATGAATGGTCTGGGTTTTTACTAAAGAAAGCATCCGATGTTGTTTGCTTGGTGCGCTTAAGTTTGACATCTAAAATCTCTGTAACATGACAAGCCATCTGCTGCTCTTGAAAAAGGCTCAATGAGATGGTTGCATTCCTAACAAATATCCATCATCTCCTCATACAAGTCAAAAACAAGTCAGAGGATAGGGACTGTGAGGCCAGCATCTGCATCTTTATCCTCATCTTCATTGACACCATCTTCTTTGAGATTTCCAACAACTCTTCCACATTGTCCTCTTAGACTTCCTGAAAGCCAGCCTCTTCTAGTTGAATAATTTCCTTCTGTATGAAGGCTTCCAGAAAGTTTAAGCAGTCATGCACAACATCAGGATACTGGTTCTTCCAGACATTGTTCATTAACTGATGGGAGACTTCTTGCCAGGCAGCACCCATGTTCATAACAGCATCCACGATGTTGACCAAATGCCTGGACTGTGGGTTTTCCTTCTCCATCAGTTTCCCAAATAAGTCTGTGGAATGTTCTCCAATAATAAAGCTTGGAAGTTTTGCGATAACCCCCCGGTCCATTGGCTGCATGAGTGAGGTTATCCTTGGTGGCATAAAAACCACCTTGAAATTAGGACAGAGATATTTGAAATCCAGGTTGTGGGTGCTAATCTTGAATGGAAGATTAGTCTCCTCGCAATACATTTTGATTTCTGGAATAAAATAATCTACAAACAATTCATAGAAAAAGCATTGAAAACTAGGCACGGATCATAGCCGCCTTCTTCCGTGATGGTCTCCAACATTACCGGACGCTTAGCTGCATTCTTGTCGGCACTTGCAGCCTCTCCCTGCACTTGCACATTCTTGAAACCATATCTTTTCTGGAACCTGTGAAACCATCCATGGCTGCCATTAAAAGGTCCAGGTGAGCCAGTCTCTCCTTCTATTTCAATGTTTTTATGCAAGCTCATGGCCTTCTCTTGAATGAATGCTGGGCTGACAGGTGTATTCTGCTTATACAGATCATGCAGTCATATAGACAACACGTGTTCCATTTTCTCCATCCTGCCACTTCTTTGTCGTGTAAGCTTCACAGAAGTATGCTGTAGCACAAGATTTGCCATCTCCAAAAGTTTCTCATGATTCTTAAATCATGCATACAGTCATTAGAGGCAATCCAAGATGACGAGCAATATCGGCAGAGCATTCATCCTTCCTATTACGGTCTAATATGTCCAACTTTACATCCTGCCTAATACTACTCCTATGCCTCTTACACTCACCAACTTTATTTTTAACAGCATTTGTATTTCCCTTAGACATTTGGAAGGATTGCACAATGTACAGTAACAATACTGTACAGTATCAATCAGAAATGAAATGTACTGTAAAGGATGACATGGCGGGCACAACGGTATCTTTGCACAATATGACTGCACATGATGAAGACAGAGCATGTTGATGCTTGGCACAAGCATTTGTCTGCATCTGTGCAGCATACAAGTTGGCCGCTTTCTCTGATTTGCATTCAAGCGGCTGACTTTTGTTTGAATGATTTTTAATTTTTTTGAGCAATGTAAAATCAGGTAATGGGAGGACTTATAACAGAACAGTTCTTAAATTCATCAGCTACATTAGTGCGGAACCAACATATAGCAGGGCAACTTACAGTGAGGACGGCTTGCATTAGTTAAGAATGAAATTCAGTTCTATTCAGAGTCCTTCAGACAATTATCTGAATAAAAGCATTATGATTAATTTGAATTAGTGTTTTTATAGGAGGAAAAAATATAATTAACAGCTTTATTGGCTAGTTTAAATCCTATGTAATTATAAACAAATTAATCCCTAAAAGCATTCTGTTGCAATATGCAACAAGAGTGCCAGGTGTGATAAGATAATAGTTTTATCTTCAATTTCTTTAATACTGTGGAAAATCAACCAATGTAACATCATCAAAAATTAAGTATTGAGACAGATAAGGGAACTTCCTGCAATACCCTGGACAAACCTTACTGAATTAAGTTTCATGACTTTAGGAGTTCCTTATACAAATGAGTACATATTATTATAGGATTGTAGGTAACATCTCTAAAAAAGAAACAAGGCTAATGTAAACCCTGAGAAATGTTATGAGTGCCAAAGGACTCTTTTAAACAACGTGGTAGGTAAAGTTAGGAGGGAGTCCTACAAAATAGTGGAAGAAGCTGCACCCTGAGAAAAAAACCATTGTCTGGTGATTACCTTCCACATGAGGACAAGACCCAAAGGCCCAAACTAGATAATACAATGACTCTCAGATTCATGGGTGTGCTTGTTTGAGTCTGAACTTGTTACCACAAAAGCACCTTGACAGGATTTAAAGAACTGTTTACTAGACAGAGTCCTGGCTGGAGTTGAGGTGATATCTAGTAAGCTTATCTCCATGTATGCAGATTTTTTTTATTGTTTAAAAAAAAAAAAGGCATTATAAATTTTTTTGAAGAAAACATGTATTTGACTAGAAAGAGCCGTGTGGTAAATTATCAGAGAGGCATTTTTATAGCCTCTGAAGAGAAAAGCATAGAAGGCCTGCTTAGACAGTCTGACTTTATTGGGGAAGTCAGTTTAGGCGGGGAACTGTGAAGCCTGGAAATACCCAGGTCAGGAATAGGAGAGTCATATCTCAGTCCAACGGGGTTACAGCTGGGAGCCAGTAACCAGAAAGTAGGTGCCCTTGCTAGACTACAGAGGGGAAATACAGCTGCTGTTGCCCTGAACTGTGACAACACATACACACTTAATACAGCATTGTTACTCATCTTGTGCATCTCAAACTCCATGGTTTCAACAAGAGCAACTCCCAACTCCATATGCTTTCAGGAGCAAATGAGCTAATCGAAGACATACACCTCCCTATGCTGCCTTAAACATGTAGCTGCATACGGCGTGCTCATATCAATCTGCACTCACTTAGGGCAGGTCTACACTAGATCTGGAAGGTCGGGTTAAGGTATGTAACTCCAGCTACCTTAAGCCAAGCTTGGCACCATCTTCACAGAGGGAGGCCAATGGGAGCAAATGTTCCTGTCGGTTTTCCTTATTCCTTAAGACTGCAAGAAGTGCTGACTGGAGCAGCCCTCAGCATTTGATTTAGCAGGTCTTAAATAGACCTGCTAAATCGAACATTAGAAGATCGATCTATGGTGTGGCACGTGGGGATGTAGCCTTACAGAGATGTTACAAAAAAGAATTGCCAAGGTATCTCTTCCCATCCCTCCCAACAACCGAAAGGCAAAGAGGGGATGGGGACAATGACACACCTATACATGCTGCAGAATCTAGAAATGGATAGCAGAAGTAAACAAGTTCTTTTGATAAACAGTCACCAAGGTGCAAATAACGAAGGCAAGACATTTCAATATTGCTGTGAAATATTTTTGCTGTAGTTTTGATTGTCTTCGTACACAGAGACATGACATCAGTATGCAAATACCAGAAAGCAACATAAGGACCTCATATCATTATTCTTTGGCTGTCTGAGACCTTGTTTTTCATAATGAAGTCTCATCAGTTTCTGAAGATTACTACAGCTCAGAAAAATGATGAATTGTCCTACAGATTGGTCTGCAGAATGAAAAGTTGGAGAATCAAAGATGCTCTCACATCCCTTCCCAACAATCCATGGCTTAGATCTCAAAACTTTGTGTCCTACAAAGTGCCAAGAAGGACTTTGTAAATCAATAGTGGTCAAAAGAGCTCAGTATCTGACAGCTACTTTTCTAGATTAAAGGATATAAGAAAATTCAAACTCAGACTGTTCAAGAGTTGGGACTAAATTTTTATTTAAAAACTGTTTGCTTCACTTATGTCATAGTTACCCATTTATAGGCATAGCAAATTTAACTTATGTGCTTAAGGTGTAGATCACATAACTCCTGTCTCTTACCATTTTGTGTGTTTCATCATATTGCTTTGTGAGTTTCCACAGCAAGTATATGATAGTAAGCACTTGCTGCATTAGCTGTTGAGATTCAGGTTCCAAAAGGTTTCCAAGAATGGGAGCAGCAAGTTGTGCAGGAGATGCCTCAATCCAGCACTCAATCAATAATGGAATTATTATCTCAATAAATCCTTTTAAATTTTCAGCAGAGGACAGGCCTTGTTCCACACTGTCTGTCACGCTTACTGGGGACCTAAACCACAGAAGCAAAAAATCAGAGATAAAGAGCATTATATTAAAAAGGGAAGCGAACACCTTCATTACACTGTATTTGCACAATATTATAGCTTTTAATATATTCAAAAAAACTAAAATATTTTTAATTAGCTATTTGCTTTAAAAAAAACTGAAATAGTTCACTGAATTCATTTTGATGTTGCCAGTTTGAATTAGAAGAAAAGTTTCACACCTGCTTTCAAATCCTTCTGCCAATCTTGGTAATTACACTAAATAAAAGAGAAATGTTTTTTCTCCCCCATTTATGTGAAAAGTCCACATAAAGTGAAATGACTGTAGAGAAAAAATGCTATGTAAGATTCAGAGTTTGCAAACTGAAAAAGAGAAAAAAAATCGAATCTTTCAATTTTTATAATCTTACAGCTTACTTACAATAAGAGAAGGTTAAAAATTTTCAAACGAAAGTGTGAATAAGCTTTCAAAACTCTTTATATTTCAGCCAATTCTACATGCTTTGTTCTTGCAGAGAGTAACATGGGGTAGGTGACCACTACAGATTAGGGTTGTATGCAACTAGTCAAATTGTTGACTACCCGATAAGCATATGCTTATTAGGTAATTAAGTGACTGCTCAACCAGCCGCTTTCCCCACTTTGCTGCCTCTATCAAGCAAGGAGGAAGAGCAGGAGCTGGTGCTGGGGGCAGCCTGTTTAAAAGCTATTTTCCCCCCAGAACCATCTCCATGGGAGGGGGCAGGAGAGGCAGAGGGGGACCAGGCACAAGCTTTTTAAAGCAGAGACTCAGCGTGTGGAACTGGGTGCAAGCCAGGACAGCTGATTCCCAGTTTGCACCCCATCACCTGCTACGCCTTTGCCTTTTAAGCAGGCTCTTACTACATTTAAAAAAGAGAGGCATAGCGGGTTAGCTCCCGAGGCCGGGAGCTAGCTCCTGCACTGTGGCTCTGCAATTTCCTGACTAATCGAGTAGTAGACAGAAATTCCATTGACTACTCAATTAGCTGATTAAGTGAAATTTAACATCCCTACTACAGATAAATGTGAAAATAAAGTTGAGACACCAAAGCTATCAACAAAGTGAAATGCTATAATTATAGCATAACAGATTCAAAAAGGATAACCCATGTCTCACACATTTTCTATGTATCATCTCTCTCCCAAATGAGTAAAAAATCCAAGGGGATTTCCCCTTAAGGTTCTGTCTCTTGTCTAAAGGATCTATATGAATACACAAGGGGTCAGATTTTCTCCTCAGACATATTCATGCAACTTCTGTGGAATTTACTGGAACTTATGAACCCAAAAATGAAAGCCAATAAATATTTTAAAATTACAAAGCTCTTAAAATGAATCAGTCTCAGAAGAATCAGCAGAGTAAAATATTTTCAAATAATTTATGGGCTAATAAGAACACATTACAGGCAACGCATTTAATCTATAGCAAAAATACTGCCCTCACCCCTTGAAAGAGTACTGTACTCTCAGGAGGAAATAATACCCTCAACCTATGATTTTGGTCACCATGACCCATGATCAGTCTGGTTTTCAACACACTTGGCAAGCAATTCCCATTATAAATCTGAACTCATGTGCATTAATTAGACCTGATACACAGCGAGCTCACGACATTCCAGCTGCAGTGATAGCCCCTATAGTTAAAATTTGAAATACTACTACAATAGGTCATTACTCCAGAATCTCAAACTTTAAAATGCACCCAATACAGATAAATAGCTTATGACAGTTTGGGGGGGGGGACGGGACACTTGTTCTCAATAACTGAGTAGAGAATTTTCTCTCGCATTTGGGAGTTTTAATTCCACACAAGTTCACAGAAATCAAGCATTTCTTCCTGGCCACCTTGTACCTTCAAATTTCTGCAATTAGCCAAACTCTGAAGAGATGGATTACCTATTTTATAATCCATAGCACATACTAACAGGAACAACAAACTGAACCCTTTTAACAATACTGTTCCAAAATCACTGTGTATTACCAGGCATAATTCCTTAGAAAGCGAGGGGGCAATGAGACATACAAAACCAACACCATGGAAGAAGAGAAAGAATTAGAAGTAGTACACACTCACAGCTGAAAGAGCATGGGGAGGAAAGAGAAAGAACAGTGAAAAGTATGCAAGCAATGAGAGAGGCAGACAAGAAAGAAGCCAACAACGGGGAAATTTAGCATGTGTCTAAATCTTTAGAACCCCTTTATAGATATACAACATCCAATGAGGTTTGCAACTATGTTACTGTAGCCAGTTTTGAGGAATGCAGACCAAATCTCAATTTTTTCCTTGGCTAAATAAGAGATGCAGTATTTTTCAGGGCAAAATATCCTTTTTCTGCATTTTTCTTCCACCCGAGGCAGAAAAGGATTTTTTTTTGGTTGGTTGGTTGGTTGGTTGGTTGGTTGGTTGGTTGGTTGGTTGGTTAAGCTTTTTCCAATTTTGTTTCCTGGAGAACTGAACATTTTCCACAGTGCTTATATCCACAGGAGTAAAATCAACAATTCATGTTAGTTTCCTTTTATTTCCAAGGAGGATCTTCATTTGCAACTAGGAAAGTTAGGTGCATTTAAACTAGGAGAGTGAACAACTACGACAGCGATAGTTTTAACATGAAAAAGCTGGCTACACTACTTTTATTTTCAAAATTTAATCACATCTGCAGAACTGTGCTTACAACACTGCATTTGTTTCCTAAAGCATTTGAAACTACAAAAAAATATTTTAAGAACACTTCCAAAATGGTTGTGGGAGCTTAAAGAACATACTAACAGGGTCCATATAAGAATAGTTACATTATGTGAATCTTGTGTAAGTATCTCTGAGTTGCTCTACAATGGCACAATTATGTTTCTCAGGGGTGTGAATAATCATCCCCACCAGAAAGATATGGCTATACCAACCTAACCTCTGATATATACAGCATTAGGTTAACAGAATCTTCCACTGACTAGGGATGTTAAATTTACATTAACCGGCTAATCGAGCAGTCGATTCAAGGGCTGTTACTACACTTCAAAGGTGAAAGCACTGCAGGGAGCACAGGGCCAGCGGGCAACTCAAGCAGCCCCTAGTTGACCCCAAGCTCCATGCGGCACTGCTGCATTGAAGCACCCCCTCCTCTTCCCACCCCCCCTTGCTGCCTCTTTCTAATAGAAGCAGCAAGGGGGGGAAGAGAAGCAACTAGTGTGTCAAATAGTTGTTTACATTTCTACCATTGACCTAGCTACCACTAGTCTGGAAGGTGGATTAACTTTAGCAACAAGAGAACCACCCCCATCACCACAATATCTACACTGAAGCACTGCAGCTGTAGTGTTTTAAGTGTAGATATAGCCTCAGTATTCTCTTATCACCACTGATGGCATGAACTTCTCCATAGGGGAGACACTGAGCCAGCTTCTAACACTGGAAAAAATATCCTATGTTTGCTGCTATGGAAAGGTCACTCTGAGGAGAGCCAAACAGTGGTGAGTGGAATTTAGGGATGTTAAATTTCAATTAACTAATCGAACAGTTAATGGAATTTCCATTGACTATTCAATTAGTCATTAAGAACTTCCAGCAGGGGCTCTCATGCATTTCAAAGCTGGAATGCAGCAGGGAGCCCAGGGTCAGTGGGGAGTTCCCCATTGGCCCCAGGCTCCATGCAGGCGCTTCCTCTTTGAAATGTACAAGAGCCCCCACTGGGGACTTTTGTGCATTTTAAAGTTGGAACACTGTGTGGAGCTCCGGGCCAGCGGGGAGTTGTATATTTCAAAGTTGACCACCACTGCACTCCTGCCCCCTCCCGCAGATCTGGAGGGAACTGTCTTAAAAGCCAGTTCCCTCCAGTACCCCCTCCTTTTCCTCCCCACCTTGCTGCCTCTTTGTGATAGAGGCAGCAGGGGTGGGGGAGAAGGGGAGAGCGCTTGTGTGTCGACTATCCGATAAGCTTTTGCTTATCGAATAGTTGACTAGTCGATTAGTTGCTTACATCCCTAGTGAAATTCATTATTCTATAACCTTTAGATTATAATAAATAAGCTAGGTATATAGGTACCTGGCACACCAAGAGCAACTCTAACAGCAGGCCACCTCATATTAAGGTCCATGTTTCTAGAACTAAGCCTTAACCAAACAGTAGGCTAAAGTTATAAGATGGATATTTTGCAGTGATGAGACACTGGAACGCCAATAATTGGCTGGTATATCTACTCTTCAATGAGAAATAACACTTTACAATTTCTCTGCAAAGGCTAGTCCCCAGTGGTTTGTTGAATTTTACTCATATTATGGAGACCGAATTTGCTTTAATTACATCACCAAGCACTCAATGGTAGATCAATGTGCCCTTGCAAAATCTGCAAGCAAGCTCCTCAAGGTTCCCACGAAATGAAACTGTAAAGACAACACTAACTAAACACATCCACTTATTTCACTAGCCTGAGTTTTCACAACATCTGTGAAAGTAAGAGGGAATAAACTGTAAAAGCACAGATATATTGTACTCAGCTTCTAAATCCATGGTCACCAACCAGTAGATCGCGATCTACCGGTAGATCTCAGGGGCTCTAAGAGTAGTTCTTGAGCCCTCTCTGAACTGCGCGCTGCGCAGTACATTTACATTAGATTTCCTCATTTGAGGAGCAGCTACTCACCAAGCAACAACACAGGTGAGTAGCTGCAAGGAATGGTGGGAGCTGGGAGGGCTGAAACACCCCAGCAAGCTGACTGTGGCTTTCTGCTGAAAAAGGCTGCCCCATGCTCCAGCTGATAGGCGGCTTCTCCTCTGCGCCTGCCCACGTGGAGCTTGGTGCACCCTGACTGAGCGCTATGCCCAGCTAGCCGGGCAGCCACTTCTCTTTCCTCCAGCCCGGCTGCCCTGCGCTCAGCCCAGGGAGGCTGCGTCTAGCTCCAGCTGTGCTGGAGCAAGCTTCCCAGGCTGAGCGCAGGATCACAGATGCCCATCTGATGGACTGTATACGACTAGCAACCTCAGACTACAAC